GTTTTTATTCGGTTAAAAAAAACAAAAATATATAAATATATAATTATGAGTAACTTAATATGACAAACACAAAAACTGATCATGGCTTTACTGGAAATCCTATTTCTGGGTAAACACCGTAAAGATATTTTAACAATTCACTTGAAACAATTCTCACAAAAGACTCTTCAAAGATATGATCATTATTCATAAATGATTGGTGGTCCAAAACAACTGACCATTGTCATTACTGCCCTGCCTGTGGACTCTCAAATGTCCATTATCACCATTCCTGTGCGGGTTGGCAGTATAGCGCACCAGGGGCTCGGGGGTCGGTTTCGGCTTGAAGGGCCCCTTTTTAGCTCTCTTTAGGTAGAACAGGACAGATGCCAGAATGATGACCACAAAGGCACACCCGGCTCCGGCCCCAATGCCCACCACCATGATGGAGCTGGACACTTGCATGTATCGCAGAGAACCGATGTTGAACTTTAAGTTGCCCACTGTCACCTGTTGAAAATACATAATTAAGAAGTAATGACCAAACTTCTTTATGCTACCATATCTCGTACTTATTTTTTTTTTAAATTGTACGTTAAAAACATGTTGGCAGTTGATTCCATCCCTATGAAAATACTGAAAAGGTTATAAAAAACCAATTCCTTGTCCAAAAATGTAAGGGTTTCTAACTCTTTTCAACTTGGCGTTTATTTTGGTCTTCAACATTAAAACAGGGATAATCTCCACTCGATCAACACACAACACCAGGTTAGAAAGCATGGGTCCTTTTTTTCCACAAAACATACCAGGGATTCATGACCTTACTATTAACAAAATGCGTACCTTGACTGGATAAAGAGGCTCATTGGGGCCGACCTGTGCTGGCTTATTGCCTGGTTTACATAATAAGTAGTTGGACTCAAGGGCGGTCACAGTACATGGCGCCGAACCGACAGTCACACTTACATCACCAATGTTGTGGACCAGATGAAGATACTTGCCCTGATGTGAAAAAATAGATTAATTGCCCCTTTCCACACTAATGAATACAACTGCTACAGACTTGACAAGTTTTCAAAAGCTAGAAATGCATTTACACACTGGTAACCGAAAAACACCCCTTGAAAACAAGTACATTAGTTCTTCATAGCTCAAAATGACAAACACACTTATGATTAACATAACTCCTATCATAATACGCAATTTATATTTTTACAAGGCTTGAACTTGCATTAACACAATGGCAAATGTAAGAAAAAAATTGATACATCTAATATGGCGATTTACAAGATTACCACTTACATTTATCCTAATCTGCTCATCATCAATGGAAAATGAATTGGGGCTGTCTGTGAAAGCATTGTAGACTGGATCGGGATATATCTGTAGAGGGCTCAGTTTCGGATGAGTCTGGGAGAAATTCCGCAATTTACTCACTCCATCCATTAAAAACCAAATATCGGCCGTAGTAGGTCTGGCTGGTGTTGGTGCAATTGCGATGAGATGGGTGACGTTTGGGGTCACGCATTTCATACTGAGGCCATCGTTTGCAGCTACACATGCCTGCAAGTAAACGCCCAAGTGAATGTTGTATTGCTTTTCTTGTCATTGTTGAACCATTTCTTCAAACTTTCAATTTAAAAATTTCAAAGTTTTAATTAATGTTAAAATATGCTATAAAAATCCTGATATCACTTTGAGTTGCACATAAATGATTTAAACTATGTTTCAGTACACATACAACATTATTTGCAGTTGAACAGGTGATTATGTGCCTTGCTCATAATATGAAAATACTGATTCTTCAAAATATATGACCTCTGCATAAGGCAGCAATTAAAGACAAAATGAAACATTTCACAGGATAAAAAACAGATGTTTAAAAATCTTCACAACTTTATTACAAAAGCATACTGATACACTTACGAATGGAGCAGTAGTGGTTTTCTGTGGCAAGGACAATCCCATTCTTGGATTTGCCACCACGTTCAGGTAGGTACCACGTACTGTTATTGTGGTGCCGCCACTAGTACAGAAAAAGAAAAATGAAAAAATGCCTAGAGCTTTAAGGTTAGATGGTGAAGATAATGAATTAAACTGTCAAGTTTGCTATTTATTTTCAAACAAATTATTTTTTTAATGAAACTTACCTTTAAGTTAATCATAAAATCATTCTTTGAGTTATTTTTTAAAACAAATTAATATTCTTACTATCAAAAACTTATTTCACAATTTTCATGCTCCGAATCATGTTTTATCATAATCACCTTAAGGTACTTAATCTTGGTGATATAGACGTTATGGTCGGATCTTCTTTATAAGTGTAGCGCAAGTTTCTATCACTCAATACAGCACCATCTATGAAGACCTCAAGGCGGCCACTGCCAATGTCATTTGAGTTATTTTTTAAAACAAATTAATATTCTTACTATCAAAAACTTATTTCACAATTTTCATGCTCCGAATCATGTTTTATCATAATCACCTTAAGGTACTTAATCTTGGTGATATAGACGTTATGGTCGGATCTTCTTTATAAGTGTAGCGCAAGTTTCTATCACTCAATACAGCACCATCTATGAAGACCTCAAGGCGGCCACTGCCAATGTCACGTTTTCTCCTCACCAGGTAGCGCCTGATGTACTTGTTCATGACAGTCATGTTCCAAGATGTGGTGGTGCACTTTATGCTATCTGACAGCGTGCTAAGATAAAAGATCCAAATGCATTTTTATTAATTTATATACTGGACATTATATGCAAATTTCATAGTAAATGGTTTTTAAATTAATAGACAGTTTTTTATGTTTTTGTGTGCTTTTAATCTTACAATGATGTAAAATAAGCCCCACAAGATTTTAAAGTGAAAAATAAACTGATTTAATATCTTTAAAATGAATCTGACTTGTAAAATAATACAATTTTTATGGACTTTTATTCATGGAAAAATGTTATTCTAAAGCTATATGATCACAATTTACTACTACAAACATAATGTCACAAATATAAATGACAAAACACTCATAAGTTAATTCTGATACTTTGACCCTCTGTCCTCTGTAATATTTCAAGCATTTCAACTGTCTTCGACATATGGCATAAAATTTGTTATGAAAATGTACTTATATATTCAAAAAATCATAGAAAATGAAAATCTTTTATACAGTAAAAAAAGGCATCCTTTCCCAAAACAGCCAAAGCCCTGCATGCCTCCTTCTATGGAATAACACCAAAATCAGAACCATGAAAAACTTAGACTTCAGTTTGTCTTGACCAGTACCTGTGTATAACACATGGCAGGTTCGCCACTGTGACCGCCTGCCGAGATCCTATGTTCAAATTCCTTCCCTTGATCAAAATATCGGTACCACCAGATTGGGGCCCATATTTGGGAGTAAGTGAGGAAACGGAAGGTTGCTAAACAAAACAACAGCAAAAGCGAGAATTTTACAACTAGGAATCGTTTCAATATTTTCTGTGGTATGCAGTGTAATTTTTTTTTACTTCCATGTGTTAGAGTTGCAATTTTTATTTCAAAAGTAGATGGTATTTTTTAAATTTGTTTTTTTGTTTTAAGTGCTTTCATTTTTTGCATATCTTCAGTGTCAGATGAGAAGGGAGCGTTTCAATCTTATTACACTTTCGATAGTGAGAGCTTGTTAAAAGGGCAGGAATGAAATGTTAAAACAACCAAAATGCAAAGGGGGTACAATTATGTACTGTCTCCTTTTTTTTTCTTTTTTGCTTTTAAAACTTTTTTATATCCAAAAAATAAACCTGAAGTGTTGATTATATGCCTTTTAAAGCATGTACAATACTTTGTCCTGGATGCTTTTGAATATTGAAACGATTCAGAAGAAAGGACACAACAAAACAAGAGAATTATGACAAATAAAATCAAAATTAATATCATTTCAAACAATTTCTAGTATAATCATAAAACATTAAACAGACCACCAGTTTTAAAAAAACCAAAACAATTCCTCAAAAGCAACACAAGTAAAATAACTAAATTTAAATCTCCACTAAGATAGCCATGCAATTAGGGCATATCACAACAAATAATTAAATGCAGTTCAAATCATAAATTATAAATCTGATAAAACACTTTGTAAGTATACATTGTTCATGTAAATTTGGTAAATAAGAGCCTAATTATTTAGGTGTCACATTAAAAATTCTGTGCAACTGTCTTCAGTGGACCCATATATACTTGCAAGCTTGTACATTTCAAATCTTTAATTTCTGTTAGGTTTTTTTGTCTTATGCTTAATATTCAATTCCAAGTAAATATGCATATCCAACTGGAAAAAAGCAGAGTTGAATGGGGGCATACTCAATGTGGAACCCAATGAATAGGTGCTGTTAGCATTGCTTCACATCAAAGTCTAAAGACAGTTTGTTTAAATACAAAAATGCCTCCCCCTGCCCCCAAGAATTTTTTTTTTCATGAATGATATAAAACTTCTGAACAGAAAGATTTACAAATATTAACAACATACTTACAAGGTTATGGGCACTATGACAGTAATGTAAATTTAAGTCTAATTACACCTCACACAGGTCTTACCTTGTATGCAAAGACATGCTGCGAACGCGCCTGGCCTTCGATCAGATACTTGACAATTGTCTTTGTTCTATCAACAACTCGAACATACACTTCTCTATCTATTTCTCCTTTGGCCGAGACACCAGTGGTGCACAGAATTCTGGGGAGAAAAATAGAATTCAGAGATACATTTTGATTTCTTCCACTAAATTGATGCTTTCGATTGCAGATGTATGTATGTACACTATCAGTATGTGTAAGTTGATCTAACTCTGCAGGGACTCTTGCTAAGTGTAATCAGCTTGACTGAATGACATCCCTCCTCTTGTTTACAATGTACTTGAACAATCACCAGCTCTCCTGTATTTTACTTAACCACAGGAAGAGGCACGCACTCAGCAAAAATCCTTGTGGAGTTGGATCAATCTATGTAGAGATAATTTGTCTATGGGAATGGGGTCTATGACAGAATATCAAAAAAAAAATCAGAGGTCTCTGCAAACTCTCCTCTTTCATCAGCATGCCTCTGCCATTATCTTTAATTATAATTTCACCAATTCACAGGCAATGGCCGAGAAATATTGATAAAAGAGCTCAGACATTCCAGTGACCTTTGACCCCAAGGTTGCAGGTGCCCCCTCACCTTGAGGAATCCTTGTAAGTGACATTACACGTTGTGTCGGCAATCTTCACTTCCACCACTGCCTGGCTCTGATTGGAGCCAAAATCTCGCCCCTGTATGGTCATTTGTGTACCACCTTGGACAGGTCCAGTTTGTGGGGTGACCTGTGGAGTGGACATTTTTTATCAATGATTAATTGTCCATACAAAAAAAATCGACCCACCTGGCAATTTTTCTCCATGATAGAAAGTCAAAGAGGACAAACTTTCAATATGGCATTAAATCTCACAAATATGTTTTACCATCTATCTTTTACAAGTAATTCATGTTTTCATTTTACATGCTTGGTAAGGGTCAATGACATGTTAAAAGAGCGGATGAGAAGGTGCAATGCTTGTATAATGATTCAATAAAACAACCGACAAAAAAAAAAACAGACAAAAAAAAAACAAAGGATTCAAAAGATAAATTAAATTCTATGTAATAACCCACATTGTAAAATTGTCACCATAATGAAACATGCAGGTGAAATGTTTTAAAATTTTAAAATTATTACTATGAGCAATTTTCTGATTAAGATATCAAATGTTCTTACAGAATAGATGAGCGGTGCACAGCTATCCTTGGTCCATCTCTTGAAGCACTCTTGCCTCATCTTGCACTCGCCTTGCCCCAACTCGTTGGCACACCAACCACAATTCAGAGGATCTGAAGCTGTCACACATTCTGAACATTCGTTGTACACCTTACAAGACTCTAGGGGGAATTTTGTGATCTGGAAAATAATAGGAGCAATCAGATTTAATATATGATTGATTTATTTATACCTTATTATTATTATTATTATTATTATTATTATTATTATTATTATTATTATTATTATTATTATGGAGAGGAAGGGGCATTGTCCAAGGAGAAAATCAAATCTATTTTCCTTTAAACAGCTGAACCTAAAAAACATTAATCAATATATGGCATTAATATAAAAGATTTAAGTGGGGGACACAAGATAAGTATCAAGCATTCAGGTCCAACATAATGAAAACAAGTCCCTATAGATGGCAGCACAATATAAATTATTCCATACAGTCCCAATACCAAGTTTGTTGCTACATAAGAACAGTACCTACTACTGTACAGATATTGTGTCCTTACACTGCAGTTTATCATGTTACAAGTATACAATATGATAAATATTAAAGTTTAAGACAGCCAGTGTTAGTTTTGACTTAATGCAACCCACATTCACTGCCAAATGCAATAAGGACATAGGACCAAAGCAATAATTTTCCATTCTACATTCTTTCTCTGACATTCTGACAGGTCTTGCCTTATGCCTGGGACAACTTCAAAGAAAATATCTGGGCCAGTCACACCACACCCATGATGAATTCAAATAGCTGCAATTTCAAAAGACTTCCTGAAGTATATAGAACCTAACCAGAGATAAACAAAAACATAAAAAATATGTTCAAACACAAGTAATTGTGTGGAGATGACTGATGGGAAAATGTTGACCTTCCCTATAAAACAAGCTGAAATCTTTCTTTTTTTTTTAATGTAATTTCCACATGCATCATCAGACACAAAAATGGGAGTAAGTCCAATGATATCTGCTATTCTAATTTGATAAAATAAACATAAATAACAATGTACAAAATCCTTAAATATGAAGACAGCAAATGTTTTTGCCCATATTACTGCCTATTCAGTGATAGCCTACATAAAACCTTATTAAAACATCGAAAATTATAAGTCCTATTTTGTTAAATCTATCTATGCAATGACATAAAGATATGCATGTGACTTCAAGTCAGTGGTAAAATGAGACAATGATAAGGAAATTAGGAGGGTGAAAAAAAAGTGAAAAAGAAAAGAAAAAAAAAGAGAGAAATTCTAGCATGTACACTATGGAGCCTGAAAGCAGTAGGTGTCACGAACCACCTGACCCTTATCTTCCATGGCTGCTCCAGTGCACTCTAATTCACAATTTTGGGAAACTTTACAAACAGGATTGCTTGTGGTTAATATCTTTTTGTATTATCATCCAAAGTGGTCTAGATTTAAGGGTTAACCACCCCCAAAAAGACACTCCCATTTTCTCCGCCATTGCCAGGCAATCATAAAAGCCCACTTGTCACAAACATGTGGAAATAGAGCCAGTTTAAATCAGTAAAATTCCATCAACATTAAAAGAACAAGTATCAACATAAAAATCACCCGTGTTATCTTCAACAACAAAAATACCAAAAACTAAAATATACTTTGCCTATAAATATGATGTTTGGTTGGACTGGGATTGATAATTACCCGTTACATCTTGTTGCTTGTCAATTCTATGAGTAATTACTCCATCTTTTCAATTGGCAAAAAAAAAAAAAAAATCAAACTTTAAAATACATGATTTTATTATCACAAAATTATATTTTCAAATAGCATTTGTGGTGCTTTTACTGCATATATAGAGAAGATCTAGAGAGTAGCCTGCTTGTTAATTTTGTTGCTACCACTCAATGTCCTAATTTTTAAATTTCATGACTTAAAAAAATACAGTTTCTGTGACATTCACAATTTTCCCCCCATTAAAAAGATCATGTAATTACAGAATATCTATATCAGGGTGATGCAGGATATGCAGACACAGAAGATATGACTTAGGAAATTTTGAAACACACAATTAACATACTTAAAATACGTACACAAATTAGTTTTGGCTGTTAGTGCTCATTTGGTGTGTAACTCTAGCAGGGAGGACAAAATGACATCATGTTTTGGGGGCAGTTGTGTTTCAAATTTATGTGTTCAAGTGGCAAGGGCGTATTTCCTTAATTCTTGGCAAAGAGTGAGATGAAATATTTTCGTTAGCAAATGTTCTTTCGTAACAAAATTACTTTTTTATATCCTTTGCTTTGATGTCGATCAAACGTCTTCTTTCGTTTGCATTTAATGGAGGTGACAATTACCCCGAGTATCAAGGAAGTCAGAGCTAGATCAGCATCACCATGAAAACTGCTATTCCATCATCCTCAGGCCACATAAATAATATTTGCCATAATATGCTAGCACAAACCTTAGATTTGGGAGCAAAAATGTCCAAATTAACAACTCGAGACACGAATTAAGTACCCCAATGTGAAATTAGTGGGCATCAACAAAGCACCAGAGTGGTTTCTGTGTCCTAATTATAATGATGTGCTCATGGGTACTAATTTTGTGTTCAGGTACTTAATTTGTGGCTTGAGTCATAAATTTGGTCACAAATCTGAGGCCCAAGTTCGCAAACTCCTAATCCATTTTTAAGGCCTGATCCTTAACACAGGGATGGGTTTGCAAATGTTTCTTCATAGCCAAAATTTCAATTTTATTCTGTCATTCTATCATTGTACAACTAGTGTCAAGTCAAATAGAAAGTAGCAGTGACAACTGGCAATTGGTGCCGAAAACAATTCTCTTGCAATTAACTTCTAGACACTGGTGTCAATATGCATTACGGAAACATAACTGGCACTTTTAACAGCCAATTCAGCTGACAAATCTGATTAAAAATTATTTTAAATTCTAGTTTAACCTAGTCTCCCACTGAAGCTGGTGCAAAAATCAGAAGTGGTGGTTGTTCACATAATAAGACAACATTATAAAAGATCTCTAATGAGCATGTGTCTGAATCTAAGGTTTTCCGTGAAACACATGCATTTATTTGATAGTATAGAACATTGTAAAGTTATTTATTAAAGACCCTTCAGTAACCAATAATTTAGCATATAAAGTCAAAATTTTAAGAGAGAGAGAGAGAGAGAGAGAGAGAGAGAGAGAGAGAGAGATCCCAGAAATGAATAAGTAAATTATTATACAGGGACAGAAGGGGGGTTTGAGGGGGAGGGGGGGGCCAAATTAAATCTCAAGTCTGTTATATGCATCAATGTAGCTGCCAAATAATGTACACCACAGGAAATCTGGGCCATAAACAAACCAAAGTACACTATAATAGCAGGCACCCACACAAGACTGTATGCAACCAATTAATAACAGAGCAATTGTAGATATTTATCTACTCCCACTATTTCCCCTTTTTTCCTTCAAATAAATAATGTTCAAACTTAATTAAAGCCCCAAGCTTGTTTTTAAGGCATCTACAAAACTCAGAGCAGCATGTCTGGTTGTAATATATAACAGTAAATCAGTGTTTTGGCAAAAAAACTTCCCATATAATTTTGGCAGCCATTTTATTTCCTAATCTCATTTCCTGGGCTCATGCAATGAGTGTTTTCTTGATAACAAATTTTCAGTAGAATTTTTGTTCTGGCTTAACTAAATCAAGACATAAAACTGACCCCTAAAGTTTTTTAAAATTAATTTTACTGTTAGTGACTTAAGGGATAATGTGATTGTTTCTGAGCTTCTTTCAGGCAAGGATAACTTGACAATAACACCACTGTATTCCTCTTTGAAAATAAATTTACGGGAGAATTCCGGGGATGTATTGGCGCCAGGTCTTAACCTGCTTTGTTTGAGGACACGAATCGAGTTCTTATCAAATGTTCTTCTCAGCAATGTAGCGTCCATTTAGGGACCAAGGTCAGCTAACACAAGGATGAATAAGTTGCTGTAAAAGTGATGGAGTTAACAGTTCTTGGTAACCTGTTATAGATAGACAGGTTGAGGTGATTGTGATCTTTTTATATATATAAATCTAAACCTTGGAAATTTTACCTTAATTATAAAATTAAAGGCCATACATTTATACCCTACATATATTTAGCCATCAAACATGTCCTACTGCTAAACATATCCAGGCAAATTTCCCGCTGGGTGGGATTGATATAACGATTGATATAACGTTATCTGATGTTGACACAACTTTCAAATCAAACGTTTATTCAATGTCTTTTCAACGTTATGGTTCAACGTTGTTTCAACGTTAAAACAACATAATTTGCCCGCTGGGTATGTACATACTTAAGAGAGAGAGAGAGGGGGGGTCCCATTGGGGAGGGGAGGGGGAGAGGTAGTGATCACAGTTCCCGCAAATAGAATCAACATTCACAAATCACATTAAATAAACTTTATTCATACGTCACTTACAATGCGCGTCGAAGATCCTGAAAACCACGGATCAGCGGGTATAATGATTTCGTTTCAAAAGGGCGGAGATTAAAAAGCCGAATTCATAAGTCACGGAAATGGGGTGCTTAATGAATCACGCAAAACGAAATTAACGTTTCACGCATCTCAGGAAATAAAAAGTGACTTTCACGGGTAACGGAAATAACAAACGGACCCTCAGAGAGAGAGAGAGAGAGAGAGAAAGAAAGAGAGAGAGAGAGAGAGCGACTTACAGTTTCTCTCTTGCTCCCCACATGTTGAATTAATACTGGATTGCAAGCTTTCTGCCGTCCCTCTGAAAAGCCTAGCAACTTCCGGATCGCACGAATCTCTGCTCGCTACCTCTTCGATACATTCAATAACTCTCGGGTAAATGCTAAAAAGTAGAAGCAAAATAATAATAATGATGATAACAACAACAACAACAACAATAATAATAATAATAATAATAATAATAATAATAATAATAATAATAATAATAATTATAAACAGAGTGGTATTCCTAGGAATGGACGTCCGGGGTCCCATATGATTAGTGCAAGTTAGGGTTAGTCAGAGTATTGAGGTTATAGTATATGGGACGAATGTCACCCGTATAAAGTAAAGCCTAGGTCCCAACTACGTTTTGGACGCACGGTTTTTAGGTTCCTTGCGTTCGGCTAGAACGTAGCTTGATCGCACGTAGCGGCTGTTGATCATGTCGAAAAGTTTCTAAGTGCTGTTTGCGTCCTCCAAAAGTCGCACGATGGACGTGCTCCTCACGCACGAACTCCTTCCCGATTCCTTCCCTGCGATCTAGCTACATCCTAGACGGACGCAAGGAACCTAAAAACCGTGCGTCCAAAACGTAGTTGGGACCTAGGCTTTAGGGTTAGTCAGAGTATTGGGGTTAGTATATGGGACGAATATCACCCGTATAAAGTAAAGGGTAACGGTCTACGGTTCCCAGCGGACAACATAATTCCTGTCATACCGGCAAACGGACAGATAGGCTGACAGACACACGGACAGACAAACAGACAGATAGACAATCAAATGTAATAAATAAATAATACTTTAATTTTTTTT